ACTTATTTCTGACCTTATCAATATGCTGACACCAAGTCAGCCTCTCATCAAAGAGAACTCCTAGAAACCTCACCACCTTAACCTGTTCCAAATCTTGTCCATACAATTTCAGTGGCACTACTTTGTGGCGCTTAGAGAAGCATATAACTTGAGTTTTTGGGATTGAGAGTTTAAATCCCCATTTATAAGTCCATTGTTCAACTTTCTCTATTGCATTTTGCATTTTCTTTCTTAGATATTCTACATTTCGACCCCTAACCCAGAGTGCTCCATCGTCTGCATAAAGTGACTTACCTATATTTCCACTTACCTGATCAAAAATGTCATTTATCATAATATTGAACAGTATGGGGCTGCAAACACTACCTTGTGGGGTACCATTTTGCCTACTTGGCCTACTTGAATACTCTATACCAACCTTAACTTCTATTGTTCTTTTGTCCAGGAAGTCTACGAATAATTTGAATAATTTACCTTTTATTCCTAATTTGTCAAGTTTAATAAGAAGTCCATCCTTCCACAGCATATCATATGCTTTTTCGACGTCAAAGAACACGGCAATTACACTTTCCTTATTAGTTTGTGCTTTCCTAACTTCTGCTTCTAAGCACAAAACAGAGTCCATTGTCCCCCTACCCTTACGAAATCCAGACTGATACGCTGAAAAGAGACCCTTACCTTCCATATAGTAACTTAACCTATCTGTTACCATCCTTTCCATGACTTTCCCTAATTGTGATGTTAACGCTATAGGTCTATAACTTGACGGGTCTAAAGCATTCTTACCAGGTTTGAGTATTGGGACTATCACTGCCTGTTTCCACTCAAGCGGGATTCTACCTGCATTCCATATCATATTGATCAGCCTTAATACTACCTCCAGTGATACATCTTTCATATGCCCTAGCACACCAAATACACAACATAATGTTCTTTTTAGCAACATCATATGACCCCTTTAAACATTTTTACAGATAAATAATTGTATAGATCTTTTAAAGAATATTTTGATAAATTAAAACGATGTACACTCACATTAAGCTCATATAAGTGGCCGAATATATTTAAAATATACTTATATATATATACAGTATCTCACAGAAGTGAGTACACCCCTCACATTTTCACCTTTACCCTCAGCTTCTTTAGCAAGGCAGTGGTCGTCTTGGAGGTGTGTTTGGGGTCGTTATCATGTTTTAACTCCTATTCACTGGGAACATACTATCACGTCACACAACTGCATCTTTAACGGATGCTCTGTCACATAGATACACGCACCCTGTCACTGTAAACTGGCCTGTCAATCATCTTGTCACAGTTAACATCCTCCACATTTCATCTAATTTAACTTCCTACTGTACTGGAGAGAAAAGAAGTAGCTTGTTGATCTTCCAGTCGGGGGTCTTTCATGCTGAGAACTCTTCTCAAATTTTCTGCATAATGATGCATTTAAAAGTTAACGACCAAATGGATGTTTATAAAAGTTCACATTGTTGTTGCAGATGAAATATAACATGGATAACAATAGATAAATATTTTTCTACCAGGTTAAATGTTGATTATTAGTAACTCAAACCCCTGTTTGTAAACCTCTCTACCTAACCGTCGATCGTGCTCAAAAGTGTGTACTTTTTCTTCACCAAAAGAGTACATACTTTAAGATCGTATTATAAGCAGGCACACTGAGACGCAGCATAATTCCAGTACAGAACCTATAGGATGTTGCGCATGCGCGACTGAACGAATCACTCCCCGAGACGACTCGTTCTTCCCGAGTCACATTAAAGATTCGAATCGGTCAAGAACGACCCATCACCAGATGATCCTTGACGCGATCGCGGGCAGCAGCGATAAGTTGATTTTGTGCTCGCTTGATCAAATATTTAATGTTTTTTTTTTTCAAAATGTTGTAGATTTAAGTAGCAAATGAGAATCGCTAAAATTGTGGAATATATTTTGAGACAAAAGGTCTTCTTAAATGATTTTCAGTTTTGTTTTAATTAAAGCAACAGTTTTTAAATAACGAAAGAATAAAACGGCATTTGGGGTAAAAAGCGCCCCTGCTGTTGGGGCTAAAGGCACAATAATTAACCTGATAATTAATAGAAGGCTGACTTTTCCATTTGTTGACATGACATGGTTAGATTCAGATGGTAAATATCATATGATGTTGGGTGTCCATCTTAGAGATAATCACCCTGTTTAGAATAACATAGTTATATCATATAATAAAATATAATTTGTTTTTACTACTGAAAATCTGTATTAAATGATTATAGGATCTCCTTCAGTGTTTTCAGAATATTTACTTTTTTAAATGATTTTGTTTCTGTATTTTAAAATAGTTTTATATTAACATATTTTAATCACAGTATATTTATTGAACAAAAATTATTTTATTGATCAAAATAAGCAGAAAATAGTAAAAAGTTTGCTGAAGTGATTGTTTTGAACAAGTATTAACTTAGACATTATTTAAAAAAACATTATTTTAGCTGAAGTATTGTATCAATACCATGTGACGTTTACCCCAACCTTTTACACCGTGTGTGGGGTAAAAGGCCCCCCTTGCCACCTCATACATTTATAAGATTTTTAAACAAAATAAACGACTTGTATGATTAATTTTCACACAAAATCTGTTGCTCCATAAATGTTCAATACAAACGTATATTTTTTTTCTGAAATCATACACTTTGGACGTAGTGAAAAGCAAATTTTTTTCTTAGGGTGTGCCTTTAGCCCCGTTGTACCCTATATATTATTTGTCGTGTGGAAAATACTGAGTGCATGTTTAGGAATCAAGAATATCTTTAATGCATCTTTTTTTTGTTGTTGTGTTTTTATGCCTTTATTTTGGACAGGACAGTAAGTTGACAGGAAGTGAACCGGCAGAGAGAGAGGAGGTACAGGATCGGGCACTGACCAACACAAACATCTCAAGGTATCATCTTTATTATTAACTCAAACGTTTTTGTACATTTTGTTTCAAATTTTTGAAAGTATATGCGTTTTATTAGTGTAAAAAATTACATAGGCCTAACTCATCACCATGTTTACGGACAATAATAATGACAAAATCTTACAAAAACCAATGAACTGTAGTGTAGTCAACAATAGGACTTCCATTGTTAAACAATATTGTAAAAATTATGTGATGTGTGACCTAAAATACATACGAAAAAATACAGGGTGTTTATAATTTAAATTATAAAACAATTTATAAAGAGTAGTGCAGGGATGACATTTTTTACAGGCCAATAACCTGGAAGATAGCATTACCTTGTTTCCCTCGACAACAAGTCAGCAGGAATGTTCTCATGTCTTTTGGATAGTTAGAAAATAAGGTCTGTGACCAGTAGAAGTGTATGATTCCTACACGTTTTGTTCAAGATACAAATAAACACAGATTTTATGAATTTTGAAGCCTAAATACAATCGCCAAAAGTAAAAAGCTAAAATTAGGCTATTAAAGAACTACACTACGGTCACATGGCTTCAGCATAACCACTCTTAAGTTTCCGACAGCTCTTGCAGTCTTTATTCAATATCTTCAAGTTGGAAAGTTTGAGTTAGAATTGTCATGCAATAAACGCAACAAGGCTTTAAAAGTGGACTAGAGATTTGATGAGTTTTCTAGTTTGGCATGATGCCGTTTAATGTTCCTGACAACCTCTGTAGTCCCATTTAGTCACTTGTTAGCAACCACCTTTTACAAGACACAAAAGCTTAACAAAATCATGAGTAGGGCAGTGGCGTTCCGTCTATATAAGCTGTGAATGCTCCGCATACCCAGGCCATTTTAGAGAATAAGTTCACGGGATAATTCATATAAACATGATTAAGTTGATCCCTTATCATTTGAAATGCAAGATCTTTATTTTATCACTCAGCATACCCGGTTAAAAAAGTCACCGCTCGCCACTGGAGTAGGGTATTACTAATGTACTTTGTGACGAAGCGGAGTCCAGCCCGGGGTCGTCACATGTGGTTGCCGCAAGCCCACCGGCCGCTCCTTTGTCGAATCCGCGCCGTTCTCTAGCCTGCCGGCCGTTCCTCACTCTAGCCCGCCGCTCACTCAAACCCGCCGTGTGTCACGCTGTGTTTTGTTGTGAAAGCGAAACTACTTTGTTTGGCCTTCCAAAAGAGGACACAACTAGAAATCAGTGGTTAAGTTGTTCAACAGTTCAACCCAAATATTCAGATGTGTGCAGCGCATTTTATGGAGGACTGTTTCCTGAACCTGCAGAGTAACGTTAGCCTACAATGCGTCTGTGCACAAAGGCTGTTTCTATAAAGTGGGGCAGTTCAAACTTTGCAAGGACAGTCTGGCAGTTCTGACTCACAGCCTGTAAGTACGTTTTTTATATTTAAAGAATTTGCCACTGACGATTCAAACGCGAGTTTTGAGCAGTGTAGAGTAGCGCTTGTTGTTTCTCCGATCACAAATGCAGACATGGTTTTATGTTTACGCGGCGCGATACGCAACACAGCGCGTAAAAAGACAGTATAAGTCATTATAATCAGTAATTATGTCCCCACTGGATGCAACAAATGCCTCGTTTATAATGGGTTTTATTGGTGTTGTCTCATCGCACCGGGACACGGCATCACAGTATGGTAAGGGGCGTAACATTTCCGTCACACGCTTGAGGTATTCAGCCAATCACAATGCACTGGATAGCTGGCCAATAAGCGTACACCTCGCTTTTCAGAACGATGAACTTTGTAAAAATCGATGCGTTTCAGAAAGGCGGGGCATAGAGGAAAAACAATAATGTACATTATGTGAAAAATAATGTGTTTTTTGAACCTTAAACCGCATAATCACATTGCATTACACCAAATACACAACATAATGTCCTTTTTAGCAATGTCATATGACCCCTTTAAAAAAAAAAAAAAACATTAACATTGGGATAATGGAGTGGGAAGTTAAAAAATGTCAGTTTGTATCTGGGTTTTAGGACTCATTCCTGCGGCACACTATTCATAACCTGTTACTGTTCTCTTGGGTGTGCTATAACTGTGTATGGTTTGACTTTAAGAACCACACTGGCAACACCTCGCAGGTCAGGCAAAGGCTCCTCTTTACTGGCAGGTAGGAACTGAAAGTCTCGCAGCAGATAGGCTGTGAAAAGAAACATTTCCATTTTGGCTACTGCCTCTCCCAGACACAGTCGGGCCCCTCCTCCAAAAGGAATCAGGGCACGAAGGGACCCGCCACCACCTTCCAAAAAGCGTTCTGCAATAAATCAGATTCACTGTCACAGTTAATGAGCACTGCAATATGTACTATGTAAATATGCTAATTATAAAAAATGGAAAATGTGTGGATTGTACCTGGTTTGAAGCTGTATGGATCATCCCAGACCTCTGGATCATGGTGGGCACCATACAGATTAGGAATGATTATTGTATTCTTGGGGATGAAATGGCCTGCAATACTAAACAGAGGACTGTATGAATTTCTTACAGGAATCTAACTTACAAATTAATGCAGCACAGTTGTTTAAATCTTTGTTAAATTGATCTGTTTCAAAACCCAGTGAGCAGCCTACAGAGGCAGCATTAAGGATTCAGCATAAGGATATCATGCCTACAAAGAAGAGGCTGTTCCAAAAAGTAGGCATCTTGATTATGCTGTCATAAATGACTTTGTTTTGGCCAAATTTTAAGGTATCGTTGCATGTTTGTACCAAAAGCAATCCCAGAATGCACAAAGTTCAGCTTTCAACTTCAACTTTCACACATTTGGGTCACACGCTCATGCCACAATTCTTAATTTCACACCAAGAAACAGGACAATGCAAAATAAATGACAAACGCATGAATTTTTCCCAAACAAAGCCTCACACACAGTCAATTTCATTAGTCAACTTAACCACATAGTGATCTTAACCACTCAGTGATCACAGAAGAGCAGTTCAGAGTCAGATCTCAGAAAAATCACGACAAACCGTAATGCATACGTCACTAGAGATGATGAACTGAGTTGAAATTAATCATGAAGAATCACAGCACTGTGATTTCACTGATGCTCACCTGCTGTTTTGTATGGCTCTGTGAGGCACGGCGAGGGGAGCTACAGGTCGAAGTCTTAACATCTCGTTGATCAGAGCGCACAGATATGGCAGTCTGTGTCGGTCACTGTACTGAGGGTACCGCACATCCAGCACACCACACAGCTCCTCGTACACTTTATTCTGAACCTGGACGACCAGAGAATGGAAACATGTTTTTTTTTATACACTTGTATAAATCGCGTTTAATTTATTCCCCCCCCAAACAACTTTTTTTTTTTTTTTTACATTTATAACAGCCCAAGCATATCTATATACATAGAATGCTGCACCAAACATATTCGTAAGGGGAAACATGTAAACAATAAACCAACTCCATAGTGCATTCTAAGGCCCTGTCCCAAATGGCACCCTAAACCCTCGCGGTCTTCCTCTGTGTCTGCAGTTTCGTGACGTAATGCCGCTTTGACTGTCAGGTAAGGGCGCATAACGGCCACAAAGGGGGCGCTCGCGAGCACCCTTCTGAATGCTAAAATGACAAATGGCACACCCTACGGTCTCGTGGACTTAACGGACACGCGCACGCGGCAGCCATTGTAAGTCCGTAAGACCGCAAGTGCAAATGAAGTGTTCCATTTGGGATAGGGCCTAAGTGATCAAGGGCTTAGGACGTTCCAATTCAGCCCATTCCAAGGGTTCCACCAGTAGTGGGCACTTGTGCAACGCAATCAATGAGGTACATCCGAGTAAACGAGACGGAGGGAAGTTAGCAAGTGAAGGGCATAAAAAAGTGAACTGGAATGCAGCCAAGGTCTTCAAGATCCCTAGAAAATCACAGGTAAGTGAGTTTGATCAGGGTTTGAGCTTAACTCTGCAGGGCAGTGGTCTCAAGAAACGGAGCTGAGAAAGTTTATAGTCTATAGCAGTGGTCACCAACCTTTTTAGGCCCAAGATCCCTGACCTCGGCCTTTATGAAAGACAAGATCTACCTATTGAAGAATTGATAGAAAAAGACATCCCAGATTGTACTTCAAATTTGAGGCCTTTTACTTAGTATTTTAATTAGTGATGCACTGATCATAGCACAGAATTCAGATTTTCTTTTCTTTCTTAATTATTATTTTTTTAACTAGCAAATTGGATTCTGATACTGATTTTTAAGCAAAGCTGTAAACAAAGCAGAGTTGCGCTTTATACGGAGAAGAAAATGCCATTGCCATCGACACTTTTCTCAAGACAGAACCCTTCAGTGATACATTAATATAACCCCATAAATGTAATGCATTTTTTTACTTATTTTACTGTTTTTTTCGGGATCTACTGGGACAGTGATAAAGATCTACCAGTCGATCGCGATCGATGGGTTGGCGACCACTGGTCTATAGGTTTATAGTGAGTGTTGTGACCACCTGAACCTGATCTAAACCAGGATGGATTTGTTTGGTTTTGTCAGCACTAAACCTACTCTGAAGCTCAGAGTTTGTTCAACTTGCGTTGTGTAACATGCCACAGGAGTGTCCAATCCTGCTCCTGGAGGACCACTGATCTGTCCGGAGTTTAGCTTCAACCCCAGTTAAACACATCTGAACCAAGTTTGGCCCACCATAGGGGCTTTCGCACCGGATAGTTATGGGAAATTAGTTCTAGGAACTAGCCAGCAGGGTGGTTCCTAGAGAACCAATTTCTCCCTTGGGCCGTTTTCCTGGTTGCATTCACACTGGCAGCAGGAACTCTGAAACGGCCGACAGCAACATCAGCAACATAGGAGCTGTTTTTGTTGTGTGTTGTGGGTTTCATGATAACCGTAGATGGAACATAAATGCCTAATTTACGCAAATGAAACAGCAAAAAAATTTGGCCTAAGAGACTAAATCTTCTATGACAACTTGCAGTGTTACATATCATTGAGTCTGAGAAAAGAACACAATGCTGCAGACAACAGGTAGCTAAATATGTTTACATGGCTTTTTAAAAATGCTGGGTAGCCGGTGTTTCATCTGTGTTTAGCCAATCAGCATACATTTACATCACTGATAGTTCCTGTAGAACTGATTTAGACCCTACTCTGAAGTAGGAGCTAATTTAGTTCCCCAAAACGGAGTACCTAGAACTAAAACTGTTCTTAGTTCCTGCGGTGTGAATACGCCAAAAAGTGGGTACTTCTGCCAATAGTACTAGGAACTATGAAAAGGTTCCTCTGGTGCGGTAGCTTCTCATGACTAGGATTGAGCACCCCTACTTGAAGGAAGACACTTATTACAGAATTTTTTTTTTTTTTTTTTTTACCTCAGGTCTGTGTAAAAGGAAGGCCACAGTCCAGTTGAGCAAGGCAGAAGTAGTTTCTGTCCCTCCAATCAGCAGATCCACTGTGGTCATGTGCACATGAGTGTCTGTCAGAGTCTATGTAGAGGAGACAACAATATTTGCATTTATTTATAGGTTAAAAACATTGGACAATTTATAATGCTACGTATTGAGTTTCTAGAAAAACATTGTGAAGGGACAAATAATTTTATTATTTTCATTTTGGGTTTCCAGTTTGAGAAACCCTGGTCCTGAGATAACTTTCTTCTGGAGGGCCACTGTTCTGCTGAGTTTAGTTCCAAGGCTCTTTAGTTGCAGGATTGGCAACCCCTGCGTTGTTCAAACAGATATGTTTCATTGCTCCTCACCATCTGATTGGCTCCCCCTTGTGGTGGTTCCAAGCTCTTCAGAAGTGAGGAAGTCACTGTGCCACCTTCTTTATGGTCACTTTTCTGCACACATCACACAAGGATACTTGATTAAATGTATTTTTGCAAATTTAGTTATCTATGTTTGATCATTACTTGCATCATTTGACCATTCATTCTTACCTTGAACTCCTCAATGTGTTTCCCTATCAGCTCATCGCGTCTGGCTACCTCCTTCATGAGGCGAGAGAAGGGAGGGTTGGGTAATTTCTATGAGGAAAAAAAGGCTGCAAATGAAAGGGTTCTTGGGTCAAATCAATTCTAACACCCAGCTACTTTGGGGTTAAAATAAAATGTGTTACCCTGAGCAGAGGGAAGGAGTCCAGCACTGAGATCCAAGGCGAACCCCAGAGAGACACAATCTTATTCAGACAGTCCTGCAGCTTCTTCAGATCTACTGAACTCTTATCATACTGTCACAAGGTAAAGATTGCATAGTTTAACAAGTGAGACTGTAAAATTAGGAATACATGTGAGTATATTGTGTAGAATAATGTTTAAACATCATTTACACTTTTGCCAAAGGTTAGTGTTGTGATGACATTACTCGCAGCCACAGTGAAATCTTCGGATAAATCCACTGATTTTCCGTTGTAGTCCCACAACACCTGTTTCAAAGCACAAGGGATGAAAGTAAGTTCATCCCAAAGAAAAACTTTATTTTTTTTATTCATCTTATGCCGAGTTCACACTGCACGATTTTAGCCCGATTTTTCACTCGCCGACAGGTTTTGTGAAATTGCCGACAAATGCCCGACATCGGAGGCAAATCGGTGCTCGTTCACGCGAGTGACAATCACGCAGTGTGAATGATCAAAGACGCGATCTGAGGGAATCACCGACACGTCGCCGACGCCCGTGAAATATTTGGCATGCTAAATATCTGGAGCTGTCGGCGATTCACAATCAGGCTGTGTGAAATGAGTTCTGACTGAAAAACACATCGGCGATGACCTACAGCCAATGAGAGACCAAGATACAGGGCAGCGGGAAGTTCGGGGAGGAGTTATACGAAATGTAGTTTGCGGACCAGTGTTGCCAAATCCGCGATTGCCGCCGGTTGTTTTTTATGTCAGCAGGTTGAAGCGACCCCAATAACATGATATTTAGGCCCTGGAATGTGAATTGTACTAGGAGAACCCCGCCAAAAAAAATTGTATTTTACCCCCGAATGCGATTTTTACTGGGGGACCCCCTCGAAAGCAATTGGGCTATTTTCAGGCTAGTTTTGAGTAGTAATTGGGCGGGTTTTGTAGCGAAAACCTGGCAACCCTGCACCAGACAGAGCTGTCGGCGATTCTTCCTATTGTGAAGTCATGCAGTGTTTAACACCCTGTCGCCGATCCATCGTGCAATGTGAACACAGCAACAACTGAATGCTACCCCAGATAGTCACGCGGTGTGAAAACAACGGCGATCCGACGAGTTTGAAAATCGTGCAGTGTGAACTCGGCATTAGTTACAGTTGTGGCCAAAAGTTCTGTTAGTGACATCAGTTTTGTGTTTTGCAAAGTTTGCTGTTGTGGTGTTCATTCACATTGTTTCTAGATTATTGTGTAGAGTGATCAGATGCATTTTTAAATAATTACTAAAAGCTTCATTGGCCAAAAAAATGAACTTTTCAAAAAAAAAAAAATCCTGACACAAAATGACCAGCTAACATTAATTGACTAATCATATCAGCAGCACATGTGAAAGTGTGAATGAGTACTAGTCAGGTAAAATCACTATCATACTAATTAGATTGTAAGAGCAGACTGATTGCTATAAAAGGAGGGAAGAAGCGCTTCCAATCATTGTGTTCCGATTTGAAGCTTGTGACATATAAACGCGCACATCAACCCGATCACTTTCCTTATTTTCTAAAACCTTTATTTTCTTATTTTACTGATTTAGATAGCTAAGTAAATGTGTGTGTGTGTGTGTGTGTGTGTGTGTCAGAGGGTGCTTGTCATTTCCTAAACTGTGCATTCACATTTTCTCGCTCCTCTGACCTTGAACCTGTGACCTGGAGACCAATTAGTGTCCATCATGATAAAGGATCAGTGGCTACGTTTACATGCACAATTTGTGGTTCAATCGGACTGAATTTATTCCGATTGATGAATCTGAATGTTGTGTTTACATGAACGCTGAATAAAGTGATCGGGTTGATGTGCGTGTTTATATGTCACAAGCTTCAAATCGGAATTTATTTTTTTTGACATGCGCACACCGCACAAATATAGAGTTTCTCACTGTTTGCACATAATAACCACTCTCCTACATGGTTTCTTTATTTGTTTTTAACAGCAGAATTAATATTTATTCATTTATGGATAAATATACATATAAACCGCTGTGCCGTGCTGCTCATATTTATTACACAGTAAAAATGCCCCTCCCCATGCCCAAAACGGGTTGCCTGTGGATGAGAATCCAAAACAAGGACTGGTGGGAGGTTGTCCTGCTCCACTTCACAGTTGCCGAGTGAAAGGAGGGTTTTATAATGACAGGACACGCATTTATACAACACTTTATTCAAAAGGAAGAACCGCTTTCTGTGCGTCATACGTCATTACGCTATTTCTGCTCATTGCACATGCGCAGTCCTTTCAGTTTCGGGGTTCAATCCAATCAAGTGTTTACATGCACTCTCAATCGTATTAGAAAAGGAATAAACCACCCCCTTCATTCCGATCGAGCTCAGTCAGATCGATTAAGGTGTTTACATGAAGGCTTTTCAGTCCGACTGAGCCGTCAATCCGATTACAAACTGATTATTTGGTTGCATGTAAACGTAGCCAGTGTATGTGTTTGTCCTATACCTGGCAGAGATGGTGTGCTTGCTTTTCTATGACAGAGTGCAGGGAATCTCTTGTGCAGCGGTGCAGAGCACTATGGGCCACACGCCTGTGAGCCTTCCATTCCTCACTGAAATCACCCAGAGAAATGGTTCGCCCTCCGCTTGATACTATATCACCTAAGATTGAGGTACAAGAAGAAACACATATAAGATATGATATACAGACCGTCTGTTTGAAAAGATAAACATGCTGGGCTAGTTGATAGAATTAAATTACCGGTATATGAATGAGGCCTCCCAGCAAAGTCAGACCATTTTTTGATCAGAGCCTCGCGGATGATCTCACTATTATTTAAAATCACCATGGCTGCAAAAAAACAATAAAAGACATGAACAGATTTTAATGATGTAATGGAGACTGACACTACAATAGCTGTCACACATTCTAGTCCATTGAATATTTCTCAGGGTTGGTTTTATATTAATCAGAAAAAAATATCTAAAAGTAAAACTTTGTTTTATTTGTATCATCTAAAAAATGATACATTTTTGCTGCTTTATGCATTGTTACTATAGAACCTGTCTTTAAACGGCCTAATATAGGCTTTTAGGTAAATTTAAAGAGCAAGAAAATTATGAACCACAAAATTGTTCCTGGAAAAGCAAAAATGACAAGCAAATATTCTTGTCCTGACACCACAGTTTAATGTTTCAATTCCAATTATAGCTTCATTATAATTGACTGTTGTTTGAATGTATGTGTGGTTTTATTGTGTTCATTTTTATTACCCAGCAGCTATAGAAAAAATATTGATTCAAAACCATATAGTTATTAACATGTAAGCCTTGTGACAGCTTGTCCTGCTCTCCTCTATTTAGTGAAGTTTATGTAATTCTACATTTACATAATATGACTTCATATCACCAGTTGCAATGAGTTTTGCTATCATGGAAATGGAATAAAAAGAATAATTACTTGTGTTGCCACAGTTGAGCCGATAGATATTTCCATAGCGACATGCCAGTGAAGTCAGGTGGATGGGTAGATGTTCTTGGGCAAGATCTAGCATGTTGCCCAGCAAAGGGAGAGAGGGAGGACCAGAAAGAGAGGGAGAAAGAGTTCTACTGAAGCGCTTAGAGAGGGAATGCAGGGGTTTGGGTACAGCCGCTAGGTCAGTGGAAAGAAACATACATATTAAACCGGAGCAGAGCTGTCGAAGATCACAATCACTTTCTTCACTTTTCTGGTATTCAGGTTATCAATGGACATATATTTAAATTACTCAAACCTCCTACCTTCTGGTTGCTTGCTTGCTTTGGCATCTCCATCACTTTGCCTGTCAGTCTGTCTACAGAACTGGACCACAAGCATCCACAAAATGAAGAGAAACAGCACCACACTCACCGCTGCGATACACATGCTGTTGATTTTTTACTGAAAACTTTCTGAATGCTTTTCTTTTACACTTTTCCCCCTTTTATTATCTTCCTTCTCCAACCCTACTCCAATCCACACAATTGAGTGCTGTTTCTCAATTTTATCCTCTCATCAAGGATAGGTAAATATTATCCTGACCTTTATCTCAACGTTACTCTCAAAGCAAGAAGAATGAACCACTAACATGACCACAAGCATCCACAAAATGAAGAGAAACAGCACCACACTCACCGCTGAGATACACATGTTTTTGATTCTTTACTGAAAACTTTCTGAATGCTTTTCTTTTACACTTTTCCCCCTTCTATTATCTTCTTTCTCCAACCCTACTCCAATCCACACAATTGAGTGCTGTTTCTCAATTTTATCCTCTCATCAAGGATAGGTAAATATTATCCTGACCTTTATCTCAATGTTACTCTCAAAGCAAGAAGAATGAACCACTAATATCACGATTTGATAAATGATATTACAGGATACCAAATCCCCATTGGCTTTATAACCAACAAAGTTTGTATTTAGTCGAAAAAAGGAAGTGGACTCTGACACTAAGTTACTGTGCATGCTATTGTACAACCTTTACTGCCGAGCTCCATGCTGATATATTGCCGCAATGCATTGGATGGAAAGGCCCCATTCATTGCAAATAAAGCAGTGATTCAGCATAAGCTCAGGAATATAGTGAAATACAGTTGCCACCCTGAAAAACCAATCAAAGAAGTATAGTGTCAGGTATGGCGGAATCTTGTCTATAGCCAAACCACAATCTAAGCCTTCAGCTCTGCACAGGAATGGAGCTACTGTTAAACCAGTCTGCTTCAGCTGCCATTTTAGCCGAACTTAGATATTTGTAAAAGGATTTGCCTGTAAAGCAAAGTCATGCTGTAATAATTCATCATTAGATTCATTATATTAACATAAATCCGTCTACCGTCACATGCAAATACTTTCTTAAAGTTATTTGGCTTTAATTCTGCATTTAAAGAATTAGAAATAATATTCTATTATATACATGTAGCCTATTGAAATATAACAGCAAACGCATTTAGTAAATATAATGAAATTATAAATATGTAAAGAAATAATAAAAATAATACACAAAATCTCACTTCTGAATCCGGTTAGTGCTTTGTTTTATTGGTTTTGTCTACATGTCTACAACATCAAAATAAAAAAATTTCATAGAGAGGAAACCAGTCATATGAAAAGATTAAAAAAATAGTACCAATAGATCAAGACAGTGCAGTTATTCCAGTAGCAGAAATGTTAATATTAATGATGGACCTCCATTAACACAAGTACATCGACACATGCATAAAGTCTACATAACATAAAAAAAAAAAACGTACAAAAGTTGTTGTGATTGGTTGGAGGTTGTTTGCATATTTACTTTGCAAAGCTTGTTTTGTATTTTATGTTGTTAACCTATATACAATATTGAAGTAGCAGTGTGTAGAAGTTTGTACAGTGTATTTGCACTATGTGCACTATTCACTCTGTAGATTTAACCTTGGGTTGTTGGGGTTGTCGGGAACGTTTGACTGATATAGGAGGGTCGAAGCTTCATCTCAGTAAATGGGAGGGATGCGTCTTTGCCCTTCCAGTCTATCCACACCACACCCTAAGAGACAAGAAAAAAAAGACTCAGAAATCGGTGGATGGTTTGTGACTTAAGCCCTATTGGTGTTTCTATAATGGCTATAGTTTAATGCTCTTAACATTGTACTTTTGTTCAGGGCCGGAGTGGGACTCATTTTCAGCCCTGGAGTTTCATGCCTTAGACCGGCCCACTTATTTTTTTTTATTTTTCTATTTTTACTGGCCTTTTCAGTGCCGCCTTCGCTCTTTCTATTATCCATTTTTCATCTATTATTTTTTGCTCGCATATCTCCAACAACTGAGTTTTTTTTTGTTTGTTTGTTTCTTTTTGTTTTTTGAGCAAGGTGCCGCTGTCGTGAGTCAAAAGATAATTACGTCATCGTTGGGGATGCCAATTAACTTCAGAAATGGAAAATAAGAGACAATTGTGATTCTTTATCTTTTATTCTTTAAGAAAATAGTGTTTATTCTTGTATTCTTGTAGAAAATAAGTGTTTGTTCTTTAAGAAAATAAGAGACAGAATAAGGGACGCTCCAAATATTTGTACTGTACCATAATGTATGTCTGCCTGCAGTCAAATAGTTCTCAGAAATAATCACAATTGTTTTGCTTAACCTATTTATGTACAATTATTCTAAAAATAATTTTAATGTCATACAAAAAATGTCATCGGCCCGAGTAAATTGTACCATTATAGAATTGTGACTTCACAAGTGTAGTAAGTTAGGAGGTGAAAATACTGTGAAATTACAAATGGCATGAAATTTGAAAGCGCAACAACTGAAGGTCTATGAAACGTCAGTCAATAAAGCATTTTAAACAATGGCATTTAAAGTTTTGAACTAAAAAATCATTGCAACCATATAGCCTTTGAATGAATGAAAATGCATTTTTTCAAATAAAGAAAACTTAGAGAGTGTGGGTTGCTTCTGGTGCTTGGATTTGTAGCCTACTTCAATAATGAGGTCCAAGAATACGTTAGAAGTAAATTTTTTACTCTCTCTATTTAACAGCAGTACAATGAAAGACATCTTCCCTCAGGTAGATTGAATGTTGGGCTCATGATCAATAAGTTGTTTGCATTCGCCCAAACTGAATCAAAACGCGGACGGTGAAGGGAACTGCCGACTCGCTGTGAAGCGGGAGCCGGCAGAGGATTCTGCTTGGTCTTAAAGCCTTCCACAAACGGCTACTTCACAAATAAAACAATGATTTGCGCAAAAAGAATGATTAATTATCAATTGAGAATTTGTTATTGATATGGTCTGGTGAAAATAATAATATGGGCTGCGAGAAAATTATAAATAAAAAGAGCATCACTGATCTATATATAATATCTATTATAGATCAGTGGACAGCATCCATATTTCAACCCTAGTGGCATGACAACACCACGGCCCTCGCTGCCAAAAAAACAGACCGGCCCACCGGGAATCCTCCCGGGGCTCCCGATTAGCCAATCCGGGCCTGCTTTTGTTTGAGCTACAGAAACGCTGCTGTTTGCTGATACAGTACCTTGTTGTCTGAGTAGGAGGCATAGAGGCCATTGAGGTTTGCCTTGTAGCAATTTTTATACCACCAGCCTCCCAAGTAGGCCTTAGCACAGTGGATGCTAAGAGTGTTTGGATCTTTGTCTTTTGTGGAGAATGGACGGCGGTTGTGATATTTCATGGAATCACCTGCAAAAAGACAAAATATAGCTAGAGCGTCAGATTGTCTTTCTTAATACAAAACCAGCTTTTTTTTCATACAAAGTATTATATTTTCTCTTACCAGCAGTGCCAACGTATCCAGACAGCTCGATTTCATAGTGGTTAGCCTCTGAGCTAATGTTGAAGTTGGCATAATGAGCAAAGACTGTGTCATTTCCTGAATGCAGGTCAATCCGCAGGCTCATTGGTGTACAACTGGAGAGAGTGTGAAGGATGTCATTTCCTGTTGAGAGGGTGCAAAAATGTAATTCAAAGTCCCCGCAACTGTTAAACTGCTATTCTTTAGGTGGGAACCTGGGAAATTGAAAATATATTCAATGTATATATATTTTGGGGTTTCTAAAAAAAATAATAATACAGTGACTGTGGAAAATCTCACCCAGCCAGAATTCCCCACTCAGGGAACCAAAGCCTTTACTGTAGTCTCTCCAGCTCCTGAAGAAATCAGTAGATCCATCCATTCTCCTCTGGAATACCTGCATTTGTAAAACAACAAAATCTTACTCAAATTCAAAACCCATATACTTAGCCACATATCAGTTCAGTTCACAAAAAGGGGGGTGACAATCACTGGCGGCTCGTCGAGGGAGGCAGGGAAGGCACAGCTTCCCCATAATTTTGAGGTGAAAATGGGAGGAGGACGATTTAATGTTAATAAAATTCACAATTCATTTTAGTTCATCTCTCAGAATGTGTATTTTTTGTTTGTAATTTCACATTTGTAATACCATAACGTGAAAGCGCCGCTTTTCTATCGCGAATGTGCTGAATCTGCTGATGTAATACAACCGCTAGGTGATAGAGAAGGGTAGGGGGAGGCCGGGGGAGAGCTGAGCTCTCGTGCCTCTGTTGGTAAAAAAAATTAGCCAATCAGCATCGAGTGTTCACTTTCAGTGCTGAGGAGTGTTGAGAAAAGAACCCTCGCAAGGGAGGCTAGCCTCCTTCTGATATCAACCAATCATCACAGAGATGTAAATTAAGTGATATTAGTATGAACGTCTGCCGCTGCGCTGATAATGTACCAAGTACTTATGAGTAGCGATATTGAATATTTGATGCCAACAGATGTACCAAGCAGTCATTCAAACAGTATATATACAAATTTAGGGAAAACAGCCTAAGCTGGATATAGGCTACAGCAGTCGGCTTAATTAAATGGCGCAACAGGCAGCTCTCTTTTAACACAGACTTTTAAGAAGGTTTACGTTTTCTGACTAAAAGCAACCAAAAAGCCATTTTAAAGTGGTTAAGCAAATAATAATAATAATAATCGACAGGGATCCCAGACCAATACAATTAGTGTGCCTCCTCCATTTTAAAACCCACGAGCCACCA